TCAGCTTGGTCTTGAACTCCTGGCCTCAAGTAATCTACTTACCTTGACTGCCCAAGGTGCTGAGATTAAAGGTGTGAGTCACTATGCTCAGCCCCATCCTGAGCTTTTCTTTGTTGGGAAATTTTTATTACTGATTTAATCTTGTTACTTATTGGTTTGTTCAAGTTTTTGATATCTTTTTAATTAAAACTTTGGAAGGTTTGTATGTGTAGGAATTGAAGTATTTCCTGTAGATTTTCCAGTTTATTAGCATTTATTTGTTCACAGTAGTCTCTAATGGCCTTAAGTATTTCTGTGGTGTCTGTTTTAACATCTTAGTTTTCATTTCTGATTTCATTTATTTGAGTCTTCTCTCTCTTTTCCTTCTAGTTAGTCTAGTTATTGGTTTTTCAATTTTATTTCTTTCACAAAATCAACTTTTCATTTTGTTGATCCTTTATAATTTTTTAGCCTCTATTTATGCTTTAATCTTTATTATTTATTTTCTTCTAATTTAGGACTTAGTTTGTTCTTGCTTTTCTAGTTCATTTAGGTGCATCATTATGTCATTTGTTTGAAATCTTTGTATTTTTCTGATGTAGGCATTTTGTCACTGTAAACTTACCTCTTAACATTGCTTTTGCTTTCTTCTTAACCTTGATTTTGGTATGTTGTGTTTTCATTTTCATTTGTTACAAGAAATTTTATAATTTTTTTTTTTAAATTCATTGATGCAATTGTCATTCAGGAGTCTGTTTAAATTCTATGTATTTGTATAATTTCGATTTCCTTTTGTTAATTTGTAGTTTTTTTTCATTACGGACAGAAAACATATTTCATATAATTTAGATTTTAAAGCATTTACTGAGACTTGTTTTGTCGCCTAACATGAAGTCTGTTTTTGAGACTGTTTCATGTGTTAAGGAGAAGAATGTGTATACTGTAGCTGTTGGATGAAATGTTCTGTAGATGTGTGATAGGTCCATTTGGTATAAAGCACAGTTGTAATCTAGTGTTTCTTTGTTTATTTTCTATTTACATAAACTATCTAATGCTGAGAGTGGGACATTGAAGTCCCCCACTATTGTGGAATTGGAGTCTCTTTATATGTAATAATACATGCTTTACATATGTTTTCTTCAATGTTATCTGCATGTATATTTAGGACTTTAAATATCTTCTTCCTGAATGGATCTCTTTTTCAATATCTAATGACATTCTTTGTCTCTTTTTATTTCTTTTGACTTAACATTTGTGTTATCTGATATGTGTAGTCTATTTCTGCTTACTTTTGGTTTCCATTTGCATGGAATATTGTTTTTCATCCCTTCACTTGCAATCTCTATGTGCTTTTACAAGTGAAGTGAGTTTCTTTTAGGTAGCACATAGTTGGGTCAAATCATTTTTTATTTATTAAGCCAGTCTATACTTTTAAGTGGAAAGTTTATTTATATTCAAGGTTACATTGATATGTAAGGACTTATTCCTGTCATTTCATTTCTGTCGTTTCCTTCCCTCCTTCCCTGCCCTCCCCGTCTGTCTGTCTGTCTGTCTCTCTCTCTCTTCTCTCTCTTTTCTCTTACTGTTTATCATTGTTCCGTGGTTTTCTATAGTGGTTACATTTGAGTTTTCTTTATTTGCGTTTGCTGTAACAGTGAGTTTTATACTTTAATGTGTTTTCATAATGGTAGATAAAATTCTTCCACTTCAATATTTGCTTGTTGAAGTAATTTGCTTGTTTGTTATTTTTTCTTTCTTTTTTGAAGGTTAACTTTACTTGTATAGTATTTTTGGTGGATAGATTTTTTTTTCCTTTCAGTACTTTGAATTTGTCATCCAATTCTCTCTTGGCTTGCAAGGTTTCTGCTGAAAAATCTGCCATTAATATGATATAGGTTCTCAGATTTGTGACCAGAAGCTTTTATCCTGCTGTTTTTAGAATTCTTTGTATTTGACTTATGACAATTTGACTATAATGTGCCTTGGAGAAAAGCTTACTAAGTTGTATGTATTTGGGATTCTCTGAGCTTCTTATGTAGTATTTACATGGCTAAATCTCTTTCTAGATCTAGGAAGTTTCTACCTATTGTTTTGCAAAATAGGTTTTCTGTGCAGTTGCCCTTCCCTTCAAAAGAAATACCTAAAATTTCTAATTTTTTGTGTCCCATCTGTCACGTAGGCTTTCTCCATCTTTTCATGTTTCTTTTTCTTTCTTTCTTTTTGGTCTGATGAAGTTATTTCAAAATATGTGTCTTTACATTCTGAAATTCCCTGTCTGATCTAGTCTATTGTTGAAGCTCTCAATTGCATTTTTATTTTATTCATTAACTTCTTCACTTCAAGGATTTCTGTTTAGTTCTTTTTAATGGTATTTATCTCTTTTGTGAATTTCTCATTTAGATCCTAACTCATTTTTTTTAAATGTATTCAGATTGTGTATCTGTGTTCTCCTATGTCTCATTGAGCATCTTTAGTATCATTATTTTGAATTCTTTCTCAGTATTGTATAAATTTGTTTTTCATTGGAATCAGTTACTAAAGAATCCTTATGTTTCTTTGAAGATATAATATTTCCTTGCTTTTTGAAGTTTCTTTTGTCCTTATTTGATATCTGTATATCTGGTATAATAGTTGCTTCTTTCGGTTTTTTGGATTGGCTTTCGTAGGGGGACACTTTTTCTTGTAGTTGCATGTATAACGTTGGCTGGGTAGGATACTTTGGTTTTGATTCTGGCTTCATGAGTCTTTGTCTGATTTTTCAACTGTAAATAGTACCAGTAATGTCTGTGATTTCCTTAGAGGCTTAGGCTGAATTTATTAGTACACACCATGGTGAGGCTTTGCTGGGGACCCAGGCACCAGGTGAGAAATTCCTTAGACCTCAGTGGTGACAGTAAAGCCCAAGTGTGCCTGTTCTTGGGCCTCTGTGCAGTGAATGTTGGTACAAGTGTCAGTGGTCTTAGGCCATTTTCTGGCCCTGCAAGTCACTTACTTTGGTGCCAGTAGTGACAGCAGTGGGTTGGATTTGTGTGCAGTTCCTTGGGACCCTAGGCAGTATGTGTTGTGTGTGTGATGGCAGTAATGATGGCAATACCTGGCTGGGCAGGCCTGCCTTCAGGTCCTCTAGTGGTATGCATAGATGCAAGCCATGGTGGGCAGAGGGCAATCCCCATGCTCCTGGGTGGCATGCTAAGGTGACAGTGGCTGGGGCAGTAGTATGTGGGGAGAACCTATCCTCACGGCATAAGCAGGTGTGCTGCAGCCTTGCTGCTGGGAGTAGGGGAATAAGGTTGCTCTCAGTCTCTGGTGAGTGTACACATCAGCTTCCTTTGTCCTGAGGGCAGCCTCCCTAGTGTGTTGCACTGACTATTTCTCAGAGTATAGGATATTATGTTGGCTACTTTGCTGGGTCTAACCAGTGTCATGTCACTGCAGTCTTCTGGGTGGACACAGAGGTATGTCAGTGGGGCTCCAGGAATGTGGACATGCAGGGTCTGTTGGGCTCCAGGGCAAGATGCAGTCTGGTGGGGGCTGGGCTCCTCAAATGGTGCCATGCTGCAGCTGCTTGGGTCTTAAGGGGGTTTTTGTGACCCAGTGTGAGCTTCCTCTCTGAAGCAGTACCATTGTGCAAACTCCAGGCAGCTCTCTCCTATAGTCTCAAGGCCTGTGAGCATGAGGGGTTCTCCTGTGGCTAGGACTGTAGGAGTCTGAAATGGGAAGGTGGACTGTTGGGGACCTGTCATTTTTGTTTTACCTGAACTGAGGATTCTCTACATACTTCCAGATGATCTTGCCTGGGCCAGCTGCCTCATTTCCTTCTCCTTTTGTGCCTCAGGTTTTTCCTATTGTTTCTCTGCTGAATTCCAATGTTATCTCTTATATGCTATATTTGAAGTAAGATTATTTACTATGTTCTTTTTGTGGAGGACACAAATGCCAGATGCTTCTAGTCAGCTATCTTGAACTGTTCTATTTTTAGTTAATTCAAAAAACCCGACATTAAATAGGGGTCTAAATTTATTCTTTGGGATCTGGATATCTACTTATTTTAGCACCATTTGTTAAAAAGACTCTATGTTCCCTCACTGAATTGTCTGTTACCTTGTAGAAAATCAATTGACCGTAAATATAAGGGTTTAAATCTTGCCTCTCAATTCAGATACATTTTGCTATATGTCTAATCTTATGACAGTTAAACTGACTTGATCATTATAGATTTGTAGTGAGTTTTGGAATTAGGAAGTGTGAGCTCTCCAGTTTTGTTTTACTTTTTGCAATATTGTTTGGCTATTCCGGGTTTATTTTTTATATTTATTTTTATTCTTTCAGAGTGTTTCAGTATGGCAAATGTTAATGATAATTAATTTGATCAAAAGGAACGTAGTTTTTTGTACCCTACACTACGAATTAGGGGATAAATATGTGTAGTGTGCCTGACATAGTAAACGTTCAATAAGGGATAGTTGTTAAGCTATGATTTCTTTAAATTAAGATCAGTATTTTTGTGTTTTATTCCCAAAACTGGACTTAATGTCTGGTAAGATATAACCAGAATTGTATTGATTAAATATGCTTGCTCATTTCTGTTGAGATTTTAGATTGATGAAATGTTATTAAAGCCATTCCTGAATTCTTGGAATGATTAGCTTTTATTATGTTGTAGGGGGAAGAAAAGAGAAGGTCCATATATTCATATATATAAGACTCGGAAATGGATGGGGACAAAATTGTAGTGCACAATGGAATTCTATTGATTATTAGATTATTCCATACTTTATTCACAGAAAAACTATCAGTGCTAAGTAAAATGAGATTATTTACCAGGATCCATCTGAGTACAGGTCTGATGAGTTTTGAAGGACTGTTCCTAATGAAACATCTATTATATTCAAGAATGTTTCATTTTCTTAGAGCTCTAAGCAAACTCTTTCAAATTGATATATTATTGTATTTTGCATGACAATGAGAAATATTTATTGTACTTCTGACTCCTTCACAAAATTTCACACTTTACTATTTAGATAATGTATATATAATATATATTATATATTTAATTTCTAACTACACATATATAGTTAGATATAAACCCTTAACTTGATGTGAATATCACATTTAAATTTTTTAGAACACTTTCAGATCAAATGATCATTCAATTTGTATAACAGTCTTTCTTAAAATGGATTATTTACTATAGTATACAGAATGTAATCTCTCTAGAAAATGGGGTGACAGAAGCCCAATCTTTACCACACAAAAAGGTTCAAGTAATAATGTACATTAGTAGCGTGATCACTGTGATATCAGGATTTTTGAAGCTGATTGTTAAATACAAAATGTTAAAATAAGAACCGTTATGTCAATGCATTGAGTTACAATAGAGAAAGTATATGCCGTATCATTCAGTTTACATATTAGAAGGAAAAAAAATCCAAGAGAATTCATGTAGATGTTGCGGCTTGTGTCAGTTTGAGTCCTCATATGTATAAGAGATTTATTGGGGAAAACATGTGTAAAGAATAAAGAGAAGGGAAAGCACAAGTAGGATAGGAAAGTCTTCAGACTGCAATATAGGTCTGAAATTTTTGAAAGAAGAGAGGGAAGAAGAGTTGCTTCAGTAGGAAGAGCCTCAGATTGAAGTGCAGATCTGAGGAATCCTTGACCAGGCTGCAGCATTTTCTAAGATGTACCACAAGCTCTTTAGGCTAAAAGGGGTAACTTTAGAAGTAGCACTAATAGAGAAAGGTTAGCTTCACTTGTTCTGGATATATAGGTTTTCACTATATTTTTAAAATATTAAATATTTCATATATACATTTGACAACAATAATGTACCTGGGATCATTCACTATGTGAACCAGACAAAAAGTATAAGCCAACAGGTGAGCTTATTCCCATGCCACTACCTGTGCCTCTGAGAGTGTGTGTGTGTGTTTCTATTTGGCACTTTTTGTTGTACAATTTAATGTCTTCTTGGCGGCTTCTTTTATCCCAGCCATTGCTGAAATGACTAATTCCACACAGGCCAGCTTTGTGCAGATATGATTTCACGAAGATCAGTTTTTGTTTCCTATCCTAGGATTCCTGTTACCGCTATATGGGATGACTGTGGCTATCCGTCTGTCATTCCCAAAAGTACACACTTGAAAGAACAACCCAGAAGTACAGGACAGTTGGTCTGGGGTGCTACCTTGAGCAATAGAGAAAGCGCTTGACTGATAAATGCCATCTCTTTTGTCCACTGAGTGGATAGTTCTGAAAGTTGCCTGAGTGCAATCACCAGTTGCCTTTAGTGCTAGATAATATATTCTTGTATTTCCCAGCAGATATGATTTGGATCTGTTTCCCTGCCTAAACCTCATGTTGAATCATCATCCCCACTGTTTGAGGTGGGGTCTGGTGGAGTTCTCAGGAATGGTTTAGCACCAACTCCTCAGTGCTGTTGTTGTGATAGTGAGTTATGAGATATGGTTGTTTAAAAGTATATAGCTCCCCACCCTTGCTCTCTTGGTCCTGTCCTGCCATGTAAGATGTCTGTTCCTGATTTGCTTTCCCCCATGAGTGAAATTTCTCCAAGGCTTCCTCAGAAGCATAACCCAGCATCATGCTTCCTGTAAAACCTGTGGTACCATGAGCCAATTACACATCTTTTCATTATAAATACACAGTCTCAAGTATCTCTTTATAGCAGTATGAGAATTGTACCAAGGAGTGGGAGCTTGCTATAAAAATATCTGAAAATGTGGAAGCAACTTGGACCTGGGTAATGGGCAGAGGTCAGAAGAGTATGGATGGTTCAGTAGAAGGCAGAAATAGGAGAAAAAGTTTGGAACTTTTTAGAGACTGGTTGAATGGTTATAACTGAAATGCTGGTAGTGATACTGACAGTGAAGGCCAGGCTGAGAAGGTCTCAGATGGAAATGAGGAACTTATTGGGAACTGGAGCAGTCACTTTTGTTATGCTTTAGTGAAAAGCTTGTCTGCATTGTGCCCTGCTCTAGAATCTGTGAAACTTTGAACCTGAAAGTGATGATTTAGGGTATCTGGCAGGAAATATTTCTAAGCAGCAAAGTGTTCTAGATATAAACTGGCTGCTTCTAACAGTCTGTACTCATATGCATGAACAAAGAAATAACCTGAAACTAGAATTTATATTTTAAAGGGAAGCAGAGCATAAAACTTTGGACAGTTTGCAGCCTGGACATGTGGTAGAAAAGAAAACCCAATTTTCAGGAGAAAAAAATTCAAGTAGGCTGCAGAAATTTGCATAAGTGAAAATGGACCAAATGATAATAGCAGAGACAAGGGGGAAAAGGCCTTAAAGGCATTTCAGTGACTTTCAGGGAAGCCCCTCCCATCATGGGCCTGGAGGCCTGGGAGGACTGAATGGTTTCATGGGCCAGGCTGAGTGCCCTGCTGCCCTGTGCAGCCTTGGGCCACTGCTCCCTGCGTCCTGGCAGCTTCAACTCCAGTTGTGGCTAAATGGGGCCTACATATAGTTTGGGCTGCTGCTTCAGAGGGTGTAAGCCATAAACTTGGTGTCTTCCATGTGGTATTAAGCCTGAAGCTGTACAGAATGCAGGATTTGAGGCTTGGAAGCCTCTACCTAGATTTCAGAAGATGTATGGAAAAGCCTGGATATTCAGCCAGAAGCCTGCTATAGAGATGCAACCATCATGAAGGTACTTTACTAGGGCAACACAGAGGGGAAATGTGGGGTTAGAACCCCCACACAGAGTCCCCACTAGGACATTGCCTAGTGGGCTATGAGAAGAGGGACCACTCTCCTCTAGACCCCAGAATTGTAGATCACTGACAGCTTGCACCCTGTGCCTTAAAATCCTGGAGAAAACTCAACGCCAGCCCATGAGAGCAGTCATGGAAGGCTGGACCCTGGAAAGACACGGTGGTTGAGCTGCCCAAGGCATTGGGAGTTCACCCTTTGCATCAGTGTGCCCTGGATGTGAGACATGGAATCAAATGAGACAATTTTGAAGCTTTACGAGTTGATAATTGCCCTGCTGGGTTTTGAACTATTTCTTTTGGCTGATTTATCCCTTTTGGAATGGGAGTATATAACCAATGCCTATACCCTCATTGTATGTTGGAAGTAACTAACTTCTTTTTTGATTTTACAGGTACATAAGTGGAAGAGACTGTCTCAGATGAGATTTGGGACTTGGATTTTTGAGTTAATGCTAGAATGAGTTAAGACTCTGGTGAACTGTTGGGAAGGCATGATTGTATTTTAAAATGTGAGAAGGACATCAGATTTGGGATGGGCTATGAATGATATGATATGGTTTGGATCTGTGTGCCTGCCCAAATCTCATGCTGAATTGTAATTTCCAGTGTTGGAGATGGGGTTCCTGGTGGGAGCTGATTGGATCATGGGGGTAGAGTTCTCAAGAATGGGTTAGCACCATCCCCTCAGTACTGTTCCTCCTGATGGTGAGTGAGTGAGTCATGAGATATGGTTGTTTAAAAGTGTGCAGCACCACCCTTCTCACTCTCTTGGTCATGCTTCTGCCATGTAAGATGTCTGCTCTTGCTTTACTTTCTGCTCTGAGTGAAATCCCTGAAGCTTCCCTAGAAGCAAAAGCCAGCATCATGCTTTCTTTACAGCCTGTGGAACTGTGAGCCAATGAAAAATTATAAATTTATAAATTACCCAGTCTCAGGTATTTCTTTATGGTAGTGTGAGAATAGGCTAAACACCCACTTTCTTATTTCATTGTTTTTTCCTAAAATTCCTCTCTCTGGGATTATACTCCCTAATTAATGTCCTAAGCTTGCATTGTTTTCAGGGCAACTCAGGGCAAGTCTTGAGGCAAAGAAGGCTTAGTGTAATGGTAGTGTAACTTTAATTTTATGACTGTCACTGTGCTATTGGTATAATATTTATAGAAAATGGATATTTAGAAAAGTGAAAAAATGTCAACTGAAATATATTGAGACAAATCTTTGTATAACTATTTCTCTATCATTAACTAACATTTTATTTATGTATCCATACACAGTTATCATTTGAACAATTTACCCTAAGGTTCATAGATACTCGGGCTGTCTTTCTGGGACTTGGTAGAATTGGACTTCTCTTAAAACTTTGAAATTAGGCATGGCCATAAGATTTGCTTTACTTAATGAAATGTGTATAAAAGTGAGAAGGATCAGGCACAAATTTTATGAGCCAAGCCATGATTTTCTATGTTTTTACCCTCTTCCCATGTTGATTCTAAAGTATTGAGATTTTCTTTCATCAACCTATATTTCAGAGTGACAGTGATGAGCAGATTGTACCTTTTGATCTGCACTGGATATAAGGCATTAGCAAGAAACAAACTTTGTTGTGTCAGACGATTGAGATTTTTCAGTTGTTTACTGTGGTTTACAAGTTCGGATGTGCTGGGTTATTCAATTTTGTATTACATACATGGGCATATAAATAGACATGCATATGTACCAAGCATTATTGTAAGGGTAAAAACAAAACAAAATAATAAAAAGATAACAATAACATAGCATCCAATGAAGTCAGCTTCTTAACTGTAAAATGGAGATTATAATAGTATCTAAGGTTTAGAGATGTAACTTGCCCAAGTTCACCCAGCTAGTAAGGGGGAAACTAGGATTCAAACTGCAGAACCCTATTTCTAACGTATTTCTCTAGTGCAGTGTTTCTTGGTGTAGTAGGAGAATATTGGTGCTCCCTGGTGTCCTCAAGGGTCCATGAGAAAGTTTTTTATTTTTAATTAGCTTTCTCATATATTTCACAAATTTTACATAAATGATTATTATAACAATTTAATATAAAAAGCATATCATTTACATAGGTGACACTAATAAATTGCACATGTGCTAAGGTGGACTGCATTTAAGGACACAATTATGAAGTACTTATCTGTGGGAACAAATGGTAATTTCTTTTTACTGTTACAGATATAATTCACTAAAGTTTGCAATTTCACAATAATTTTTGAAATTCATAAAGGAATTGAAACAAAATGAAGTAGTAATAAAATAACAAATACTACAACTTAAAATAATGCTGAACATGTAAATACTAAATAGTACTGCCTTGCATATAAAATATGAGCATCTACTTAAAGTGATTTGGCAAGTGCAATGATTTTACATAAAAATGGAGGAAAGATGAGAAAGAATTCAAATACTGATTTTAATGGATGGAGCTACAGTGCAGTATGATGAAATTCTCATAAAACTCAGAACTTTTACATGGTTTTCTAAGCAAAAAAACAATGACTACTCTAGCAAACAAATGCCCCACCCCCCTTTTTTAAAGAAAAGCATAAAATAATGCTTTTAGTACAAAATTGATTAATTGTTACTAAGGCAGAAGAGAGATCAAAAACAGCAGAAGTATCATTCAGAGTTATAATAGTGACAAAAAAATACAAACAGATTACCCACTAGAGCTAAGAAGCTTGTAAAACCACCCATAAAGTTGACAAATACAGCTCATGGTAAAAGGACAAGCTATAGGCACATTTTTTAAAATTAAAAAGACATTTTAGGTGTTGCCTTATATCAATGGCATACAATGAGGAAAAGTGGTTACTGTCCCTTCTGTGCTTGCAGGTAATTTGCTTTTATAGTTGGACAAAACCGATTGAGCTTTTGTGTGGCACATGAGGAAGAAATGCCAGGTACTGCTTTTTGTCTTGTTTGTAACTAAAAACTCATTTTGTGAGCTGTGGTATTAAGGAGAAATCTTTTCAATAATACCTAAGTTGAAAGAAGGTGTACTGGAATTAGTATTGTCAGAACACTGGTTGTGAGTATACAAAAGAAAAGCATTGCTGCACAAACAAATTTGCATTTGAATCAGATACACACTATTTATAGGAACAGTTGTGGGTCAATATGATCAAGGATATTCTCCATTATTTCATTAGAGCAATACTCTGCCTTTTAAAGTCAGAGTCCTAACAAGAATCAGATGGCATAGTCAAAATAGAATAATTCAAGGAAGGTTTATCCACAAAGGAACTATTTTAAAATATGCACTAGGGAACCATAAAGGACCAACTAGGCCTTACTTAATAGGAGCCAGCTCATCACAACGTCTTCATCTTCTCTTCTTTGTATAGGTTCAATAGACTTTACTGAACCTGACTTATTAGGAGCCAACTCATCACAACGTCATTGTCTTCACTTCTTTGTGTAGGTTCAATAGATTTTATATAATGACTACTTAAATATTGGTTACACAGAGCCAAGAAATTTGCAAGAATTCCTATATCGGACCCCTCTCATGTGAAGTCTCACATAATCTCTGCCTCACTTCTGATTCCAGCGATGTCTGTGGCCAGCAATTTCACATTGACTCTGATCTGCTTTGCATCATCGACATCACCTCTTCCCAACTGTGCTGTGAATCTCTTGCTTTATGCTTGGGCTTCTGATGAAATTGGTGTGGGACCCTTATTGGTATCTCATTGTGGTTTTGATTTGCATTTCTCTAATGATCAATGTTGAGCTTTTACTTCATATTTTTTCATATATTTCACATATTTTCATGTTTTCTTTTCATATGAATGTCTGATTTTGAGAAGTTTCTGTTCATGTTTTTTACCCACTTTTTAATGGGGTTGTTAGTTTTCTGTAAATTTGTTTGAATTCCTTGTAGATTCTGGATATTAGGTCTTTGTTGGGTGGGTGGATTGTAAAAATTTTCTCACACTCTGTAGGTTGCCTATTTACTTTGATTATAGGTTAATTTTTTAAACAGGTTGTTTTCTTTCTGTTGAGCTTTAAGAATTATTTTGTATATTTTGGATGTTAGTACTTTAGCAGATATGTCCTTTGCAAATATTTTCTTCCACTCTGCGGCTCGTCTTTTTATTCTCTTGACAGTGTCTTTTACAGAGCCAAAATTTAAAAATTTAATGAAATCCATCTTATGCATTGTTTCTTTCAAGGATTATGCCTTTGCTGGCATTTCTAAAAAGCCATCACCAAACCCAAGGTCATCTAGACTTTCTCCTATGTTTTCCTGTGGAAGTTTTATAGTTTTGCATTTTGCATTTAGATCTGTGATCCATTTTGAGTTGACTTTTTAATAAAGAGTGTAAATTTGTGTCTAGATTTTTTGGCATGTAGATGTTCATTTGTTCCAGCACCATTTGTTGAAAAGGCCATCTTTTCTCCATTGTACTGTCTTTGCTCCTTTGTTAAAGATCAGTTGACTATATTTATGTCAGTCTATTTCTGGGCTCTTTATTTTGTTTTATTGATTAATGTTTCTAATCTTTCATCAGTATCACCCTGTCTTCATTACCACAGCTTTATAGTAAATCTTGATATCCAGTAGTTTGTGACCTCCAACTTTGTTCTCCTTCTGGCCTTACATTTGGATATTGTTTCTCTTCTCAATATCTCTAGTTATGAATATTTAAAGGAAGAGCATTCTAGGATATGAGAAGAGACAATATCCTGTCCTATTCTGTTAGACATATGTTGGGGCTGCTTTAATGTTCTAACTTCTCTTTTACATACTTTCTATATTACCTCTGGGACTGTTTTTTGGGGTGTATTTATCAGGAATAATTCTCTGTTCAGTTGTATTGTGTCTAGAGTTTATCTCATATGTGTGTGACTTTGAAAGGGAATCAGAGAAGCCTATCAGTCATTCCCCAATTAAACATTTTATTAAGCAATTTCACTACCCAGCACCAAAAAATCCTCAAATTTAAGTTGAGTTATACCAGTAAGAAGTAGCTACAACCAGAATTTATTTTAAATTATGTTTTCCTTTGTCTCATAGTTGTCCAAGATTTTACAATTTAAAACCTTGCAAGAGTATATATCAGCATTGGTCCTATAATTTTACTTGGACCTTAGAGAAAATTTTTAATCCCATATGAAGGTTTTTCATTTCAGCAAAATTTTATTCATTTATTTATTTTGCTATTGCTGTTACTGTTCTATTATTCCTGAAGATCTGTAATTATAGAAGTGGTAAATATAAGATCAGTATCTAATTTTTCACCTCACTTTGACAATTTGCTTTGACTCTTTACTGCTGCATTCAGGGAGATCTTATGAAGTGTGTCTTCTGTATCACTGATTCTATTACCTTCAGTCTGAATGATACTCTTTTCTCCTTCTAATGTAGATTCCAATTATTCTGCATTTTAAGTTTTTTTTCTCCATTCTTTTTCTCATTTCACCTGGTGTATTTCTCATAAATTTTGTTCCCATTCCTTGGGGACCACGTTTTCATGAATTTTAGTGAATATGACAGTATTTTTTCTTCTAAAACAATTTTCTAAGTTTGGTAGGAAGTAATTTTTAGGAAATTTATTTCTCTTAAGCTTATAATGATACGTCTTTTCTGTGTATGCTTTTCAGTGGCTAAACAGAAGAAAACTGATAGGAGAACTTTCTTGTCTAAAGATGGATTTAAATGTGTTGGGCGTATTATACTTGGCCTCACTGAAATCCCCATGTCAGATCTACAGCTGGAAGTGAAGCAGCCTTCATAGCTCCCTATCCAATTATTAGTGTTTCAAAATGGTGTCTTTACCTCAGTTCAGCAGTGATAGAAATGTCTTATTCTACCTTCACTGCATGGTTCTGGGCCTTTTTATATTCAGGGAAATATCACTTCTATCAGAACACTGTAGGCAAGAGAGGTGGGTAGTGCTTTTTGTGGCAAATAGCTGACTGTTTAATAATCTTGTATATAAACCTTTTATCTATACTCTAGGGGCAGACTGTGGGGTAGGGTTGAGGCATATATCTACTTCCATGCTGGCAGATTTTGTCTCTAAGTAGACTTTGTGCATTTCTAGGTTTTTTAATTGGGAAATTGAGAAGAACAACTTCAGAAACTGCCAGAAATCATCTTAAGTTTCTTATTACCATTAAAACTGCTTATTCTTTATTCTTTCACTCACCCCTACAGAACACTTCCATCATTGCTCAAGTTAATCTCTCGGAAGTGCAATTCTGATCACCTCTTTTTTCAAAACCTTCAGAGATTATATTTATCTAGGCACTGGGTAAACTTTTTACTCTTGTATTCAATATCTTGTGTAACAGTGGAAGGGTAGGCTAAGGGAACCTCTCTGTGTTACTTTTATATTGAAACTTTTGCTCTGGTCCAGTTTGCTTGAACCTTAGTAGAAAGTATTAGGTGTTTTTATAGTACTAATACCAGCTGACACATCTAGAATGGCTTCTACTTTCTTTACCTTATAAATTGTTGTTCATTCTTCAATACTCATTCAGATATCATCTTTACTGTAATATATTATCTGAGCTTTATACAACTGAATGCTGGTACCCCCTTCATATTTATTTTATTGTATTTACACTGACAGTTAACCTTTGGACAGAAACTGAATCTTCAGCTTTATCAATATGTCTGCATTATATCTAGTTAGCAATCTCTCATACCCTATAGGCTTTCACAGATTCTATCAGTGCTTTTGCTTTTTGCTCTTTTTTTTTTCCAACTATACATTGAACAGTTACAGAGTCTTCACTTGTCATTGTAACTTTGAGCTTGTCATAGCTCAAAGGTCTGTATTCTGTGACAAAGTGTCTTCTTTAACCCTTAAATACATTGCCCATTCATAAATATATAAGAATTAATTTGCTTCTCTTTTTTTAGGTAGGTAAAATACATTGCACAACTATCTCTTCTCCCCCCTCCCCCAGTAAGTATAAAGCTTCCTAATTCTGTAGACCATGGAAAGGCCGAAAGAGTCAGAATCAATAACCCTGGGTCTCTATGCAAATGTTCAATGCCATCTGGGTTTATAGCTAGAAAACAGTGAAAATTGCCTCAGTATGCACAACTGTGACCAAAAATAACAATTATATAAGGAACTTGTTGGACATAAAACTAAGAATCCTGACATTCTCAGTGAGAAAGATAAAGTAAACAACACATGGTTTACTCTCAAAGTGGCATTCTGTTTTTGCTATCAAGTACTTAAAGTAGAGCTCATTATTGTATAAAAATTTAAGAACTTGCTGAATTAGGGATTAGAGCCTATCTGATTTAATTCCACAAAAGTGGCTCACAAGTATTTCACAGAGAATGCCATTATTTATTTGAACGAACAACAGAAACTGCTTTTGCTAAGCAAGGTAATAGTGAATTAAGTTTAGAAAGATACTGTCTCACTGTGTCAGTGAGGAGGCTGGTCTGGAAAGTCTAGAGAATGTACCAGGCCAGTGTGAAGGGTAACAGACTAATCTGAAGATAGCTGTAATAATCCAAATGCTTAGAGCCTGAATCAAATCAAAGACAATGTAAATAGAGGTTAAAAAATGGGTTGGGGAGATAAAATAAATTAAAACAATCATTTATTATCCATCCCACATACCATTGTTTCATTTTAATTTTTATTTTTTTGTGGTTAAATAGTGGGTGTATATATTTAAGGAGTACATGAGATACTTTGATGTAGTCATGCGATGTGTAATCCTTTGTGTTACAAGCAATCCAGTTATATTTTCATAATTTTAAAATGTGCTGTTATTACTATTTTTAAAAATATATTTTATTGCACTTTAGGTTCTGGGGTACACGTGCAGAATATGCAGGATTGTTGCATAGATACATACATGGCAATGTGGTTTGCTGCCTTCATCCCCTGATCAGCTATATCTGGCATCTCTTCCCCATGTTATACCTCCCGAACTCCCTAACCCCCACTGTCCCTCCCCATTCCTACTCCCCCCGCAACAGACCCCAGTGTGTGATGCTCCCCTCCCTGTGTCCACGTGTTCTCATTGTTCAACACCCACCTATGAGTGAGAACATGTGGTGGTTGATTTTCTGTTCTTGTGTCAGTTTTCTGAGAATGATGGTTTCCAGATGCAACCATGTCCCTACAAA